TTCTTAAAAAGCAAGCGCAAGTTGTGCAGCCGTTTTGTTAATAAACGTGATATTTAATAATGATATTGATATATGATATTGATAGAGATATACATACATTGTATATAAAGATTAGATCACACACGCACGCACACACACTCACACACATCTTCAAATAATGACATGTGTTTGTTGTACTTTGTGTGGATAAGAAGATTAGGTAGCAAGCAACTCAATTTGAAGCTGTAAGGTAAGCACACTACTCCTCACAAACAACACAAAGCCGTGTTAGAAAGGTACCTATAAAGAATTTCTTACTGCGGTTTAGTTTCCTATCTTCCTCCAGGTACCTACCATTGTAAAATGTTGTTCTGCGTTTGTATGTTGTTACTTGTTAATTACTGTTGTCGTATTATAAACTAAACAGTGTTCACTTGTTGAATTTGCACTAATAAGCTTGCCTCGGATTGAATAGCGCGGTTCCATGTTTCCAGTTGGATTTGTCTTGTTGTTTAAAGGTCATATGATTGGAATTTTAATGTTACTGCAGTAGCGTCATGTTATTTAAACCAATGTTTCAATTTGTAACATTGGAACACATCGGCACGTCTGTTGATTCAGCTGTCATCTTAACAGTTTTTTTACTGTTTCCATTTTTATATTTCAAGAGGCACCAACAACTCACACAGAACGCATAATAATACAAGTGTATGAAATCATCACACACATTGCATTGGTCTGCATTCGTACACTGTAAGATCCCTGCCAGACGTTTCAACCATTACACCACCGCGTGACCCACGGTAAAAGAATTAGATTTTCTAGATAACGTCAACAAATTTTGCAGCTCCTTTTTTGAAACATCTGTTTCATATTTGAAGAGGTTACACACGGGAGTTTTTATACCTCTAAACGGCGTATTGGAACCCGAGCATTGATTAATACGATGCTGAAAGCAACTTAATTTCGTACTTGAAATTTTTATTCCCTTCTTTATAATTTTTTTCATTCTTTTGCGTCAAAACAGCACGCCGCAGAACGCATACAGCAAACATTTTTGTGCAAGCCCGACCAAACTTACCGGGTATTAAAATTTTAAACCTTCTAAATGTTTCTTCAAAACTTTAAATTGAACGATATACGTAAAAATTATACGAAACTATTTATCGCTCACAACAACATAGAAATTAAGCTACCAAAATAAATGAAATATACATAAATATTATTTACAGCTGAGCCAGTGATGAGCGTCGAATATTACAACTTCACCGCAATGCCCAACCTGCCGCTGTAACTTTATTTAATTTCAACTCATAAGCAATCAAATCTTGCTTGCATTTTACAATTATTGAACAATGAACTTTATGAACTGTAAAGCCTCAAAAATGAAATTCAAAAAGTTTGAACTTTACAACTATGAACCAAAGCATCAACTACCCAAAGGTAACTAGAGCTTTCGCTTGAGGCATTTTTCGCCCGAACGATGAAAGATTCGCCCGATTGCATTCTCGCCCGAAAATAAAAAATAAGTTTTCGGATGATGTTGGTCCTTGTTCTGTTTCCGTGTTTTATTATTTGTAGACGCATCACATCACACCTGCAGGTCAGAGCGCACGTGAACACACGCATCCAACAAAACGTCGCGCCGCCCTTCTTTGTATTTATTCTATTTGAAAATTGATTGATAGCTTCACAAAATTTACGCATCACTTATTTCTCTGTCAAATATGATTTGGCGTTGATAAATTCCATGTTGTTGGTTTCATTAATTTTATATAAAATATTTTGCAAATTTTTCTAGTAAGATTGATTGATCACATACGTTTTTAACCTTTTCAATGACACACAAAAGAAAAATTGTTGCATGTTTTCATTTGTTGGCCACACTGTGAAGACGAGTTGTTGTTGAAACATGCACCAAACAGTACGAAAGACTGGCTGTACAGCCACGGTGTTAGTTGTTGTGGTGGTAGCTCGTTTGTAGTGTGCTATTTATATGTTTTGTGGAATCGAGCCGTAGCCACCTGGTCTGCTAAAAGATCGGCAGTGGTTTCTAAGTAGTGTTTGGCCATTTGGGTGGACCAGAGTTGGGCTCGATGCCAGCACAAGGTGAAGTATCTGGAGCAGTAATGCTGGTAGATACTGCTCCATTGGCAGAAACTCGGTTAGATGGGTTGAGGGTGGGTTGGTATCCATCTGCATTGTCTGTTTGTACTTGGTAGATCGACCAGATGATGTTGTCTGCAGGACGGAAACGCGGAAAACTCTGCAGCCATCTTCGTGTTAGTTAATGGATTAAGTGATCTCGAATGAAATACAAATGAAAGTGAGTGACGTCGTGTCGTTCATTATGTGGAAGAAATTTGTGAGGATCTAGATGGCGAAGGTGAAGTCGATGAAAAGATGAAGATTGTGTAGAAAATTATGATGATGATGAGAAAAAATTACTCCAAATAAAATTTTGGCTGGAACGAAAATTTATCACGTCAGTAACGTCACAAAATGTGTGGCGTCTGATTTTGCTGGTCGACTCAAGTTGATTCGTGTTTCGTCATTCGTGCTATCCTGCGTTCAAAGACATAAAAATAATGACAAGCCTGATGACTTGCAGCCATCCACTTCCTTCCTACTGCCTGTTGGTGCCAAATTTTCAGATGTGATCACAAAAGAAAGTTCCTGAACATGTGCACGTGCATTCCCAGAAATTGAACCATTAGGCTTTTGCTGTTGACGCATCTTTGGCTTACAAAAACTCTTTACTACAATGAAAGATGTGATGGAATTATTAAAAGTAGAGAAGATGCTATCGAAGATGATGACGTGAAAGATAAGAAAATAAAGCAAATGAAAAAGATGTTAGATTGTTATGACAGTCGCATGCAAGGCAGAATGAATTGCTGAATATCACCGTCCGGATGCAGTAGCCTGGTTTGGTTCATAGTTGACGAAGGCGGAGTTATACTATTATGGGCACGTTGGCTTCAGCTTGTAACTGATGTACAACGAACGATGTTTAAAAAAATAACAGGTAATCACTGATACCTGCTGGTCGTAACAATTACATACCGTCTGTTACACACAGCATTAATAAGATATCATCAGAGTAATGACACACATTGTAAAGTGACGTCTTTATAACATGGAGTGACTACTGACCACAAAAAAAATTTTTCCAACGAAGTTCAAACTATGAAGAAAACATGAAAATGGGAAAAATAGTCTACATTTTTTGAAAAACAACATTCATTGACTGTGTGTTTGTTATTTCTATCCATTCTTCTTGTCATCATCATCATGATCATGACGATAATCATGATCATCATCATCATCCTCATCATCATCATCATCCTCATCATCATCATCGTCATCATCGTTAGAGCTATTAAGAGACTGTTGTTTGTTTGTTCGTCGTGGTGTGTTTAATAGAGTTTGCACTTGGCTTCGAACCCGAAACTTTTGCCTGCCTTATCGCTACTCTAATCTGACATACATTTATTACTTGCCATCAGCATCGTCGTCATCATCTTCATCAACATCATCATCTTCATCAACATCATCATCGTCATCAACATCGTCATCATCATCTCCATCATCATCATATTTTTTATCGTTGTTGTCAGAGTTGAACCATTTCTACGATTTGTTATTTTTATTTTTATTTTTACCGTTGTTGTTATTACTATTATTATTGTTGTTATTATTTTCATATCTTACACGCACTCAATTTGGAGTAACAAGAAATATTTTTTTCCATTTATTTACTAAGCATATTTGATGTATTTTCTTCTCAAAATAATATCATCATTACCATCATCTTCATCAATAGCATCATCATCCTCATCAATATCATCATCCTCATCAGCATAATGATTGGTCTCGTCAGTGACAGTTTTGAGTTTTGTTAAAAATCATAATAAACCTAATTTCAATCACAATCTTTCAATTCATCATCGTCATCATCATCATCATCTTTTTTATCATTATCATCATCATCATTATCATCATTATCATCATCATCTTTATCATCATTATTATCATTATCATCATCATTTTCATCTTCACCCATATCATCATTGTCACTTTCGTTACTATCATCATCATAATAATCCTTATAATTATCATATTCACACTCATCATCATCATCATCTCCCTATTGTCCCTATCATCATCACCAAAACCACCATCATCATCATTACCACTATCAACATCATCTCCAATTACCTCATCATTAATATAATCAAACCAATATAAAGCAACTTCTCAAACGCATTGGTAAAGTTAATATAAAAATAAATGATTGATAGATGGATGAATGTGTGGATGGATGGGTGAATAGATGGATGGATGGATAGATGGATGGATGGATGGATGGATGGATGGATAGATGGATGGATGGATGAATGGATAGATGGATGGATGGATGGATGATTGATTGAATGGGTAAATGAATAACAACATCATCATCATTGTTGTCACATTCAAACGCAACATCTATCATTATCATCATCTTCATCATCATCATGACCATTCTTATAATAACATCATCATAATCATAATAAACATATAAGTAAAATAGCATTATTATTATTATTATTAATGGCAAGAACATACCGCTGATGGGTGTGATGGGGGACCCCATGGAGTAGTCCGGTGGTGCCCCCTGCTTCGTCAGGTTGCTGTCGTTGTCCGCCATCCTCTTTTATTAAATTGTTGTTTGAAATTATTATTATTATAATTGTCGTTGTTGTTGTTGGAAATTTTTGTAGGAAATTGTTGTTGGAAAGGTTGTTGTTGTTGTTGCTTCTGATGCTTTGTGCTGCTGTTGTTTCGGTGTCTTCTAATTATGAAAATATTTTCTTTGCTTGTTTATTTTATTTAATATGTTTGCGTTGTTGTCTGCTCAGTTGAAAAGTTTATTTCGTCAAATCTCTGATAGAATATTTCGACACGAACAACAACAGCATTCCTCTGCAGGGATCTCTATTGTAAATAAACGCTGAAGAAGTATTGAAGGTTGTATGGGAGATGCTGAAGGCGATGGAGATAATGATGCTATAAACGATGACGATGATGAAGAGGAGCGATGACGAAAGAATGAATTATAAATATCGCCGGACCGATAACTGAAAATACTTCATCGACGGCTCGTCATGCTTGTCAGCGTTTCTCTGCAAGTTTCAATTGGCAACACTTCTTTGCCTTCTTTCTTTCTCTCTGTTTTTTGTGTGTGTGTGTCTTTTTCACGTTTTGATGTTAATTTATTTTACTTTAATAGTATTCTCAGTACCTTATAATTGTAACTAAATTCATTAAATCTTCCTCAAATAAATAAATTTGACGGAGGTAGCAAATTAATTTAGTCCCCGGTACAACGTCCATTCAATATCTACTCTTCCGTTCATTAGCTAATACTTTAGATGCTGCAACCATGCAAGTTTCAGTGTTCAAACGTTTGCTATGATACGATGTGATGTTATGTGATGTGATGTGACTGACGGCCCACCATCTGATGACGGGTCAGACCTACCTTATTACCTTCCTTCCAAATAAAGAATGCTGTAAGCTGCACCGAAAGAAGTGCTTGTGCTTACGCGTATCAGCGAGTATACATACGTACGTGCCTAATATTACATACATGCATGCATACATGCATCCATACATACATACATATATATATATATATATATACATACATACATACATTTATACATACATACATGCATGCATGCATGCATACATACATACATACATACATACATACATACATACATACATACATACATGTTTGTCGGTTCAGTGTCACTCATCATGTTTTGGTTTTAACATACATACATACATACATACGTACATACATACATACATACATACATACATACATACATACATACATACATACATACATACATACATACATACATACATACATACATACATGCATACACACACACACACACACACACACACATACACACATACATACATACATACATACAACTCAACAGAGACTACCCTGCTGTATGTGTTTTCAGAATTGTTTACCGCTATTGAGAGACAGCATGTTCCTTTGGTTACAATTCTGGATAAGAGGGCGGCTTTCGACTGGGTCGACCACAGAATTCTTTTGGATAGATTGGTTTTTAATTTTGGAGTTTCTGAAACTGTTTTTAAATGGTTTGGGTCGTATTTATTGGGGGAAACGCAGCAGGTTCTGTTTGGCAATAAATTATCAAATGCAACAACGACGTCATCAAGGGTCTCTGTCTTTGGGCCTATTCTATTTATTTTATATACGGCAGTAGTAATTAAAGAGATCGATAGTTTTGGTTTAAAGTACCATGCCTATGCCAATGACATCCAAATAATAATCAGTTGTAAACCGGAACTACTCAAATGTGAAATTCACAATCTTGTTGAATGTTTGAACAATGTTGATGAATAGATGCCAACAAACCGTCTCAGGACAGTCACATTTCATTCCTATTGGCACTTGGCAGCAGTTGTCAAAGCTTAAAATTAGTTCAGTTGTGGTAGAGGTTAAAAGTATCCAATTTTCTGATAAAGCAACCAATCTAGGATCTATTCTCGACTCTAATTCAACGATGAATGACCATGTAAAAATGCTAACAAAATCATGTTCCTTGCAGTTACGACAATTAAACAAAATACGTAAATCTCTAAATAAATCTACAGCTCAGTCGTTAATACAAACATTCATACATTCACGACTAAATTACTGCAACAGTTTTTTACGGGTTGCCGGACAGATCGATTGCTACTCTCAAGTCCATTCAGAACCGAGCAGCCAAACTGGTTGTGGGTAGTTTGAGGTCTGACCAGATGACATCGATATAAAAAAAAACCTTTATTGGCTTGAGATTAAAAAGAGAATTACTTATAAAATAATTTGTGTCACATGTACAGGAATTTTCACGATCTGCTTCCAGAATATCTGACAAACAAAAATAAAAGAAAAATTATTTATGATGAGTGGTTTGAGTCTCATATCAGATGATGGTGTTTTGCACGTTGTTCCTGGCATTCATCTACAGACAGCATCACGAAATATCGTAATTTAGGTACCGGTTGAATAGAACAATCTGCCAAAGTCACTTAGAATGCGAAACCTCAAACTTGAAAAGTTTAAGAGGAATTTTAAAACTCAATTATTTTCGCTTTAGTTATATTGTTGACATTAACTAATCAATTTTGAGGTTTGTTTTGTTGATTGCCTCATGTTTGATTTATCTTTGCTATTTTAACCGCAAATATCGCTTTTGACAGCCTTAACTTTTGATTAGTGCTTTATAAACTTGATAATAATAATAATAATAATACATTTTTCAATGGTTTGCAGTTACATACGCATTCTTGCATGTGTGTTTTTATGTGCCAGAATACAAATAAATTTGATGTGCACAAATAAAACTTTTATGGGCTCATATATTGCTGGCGCATGGAAGTTATGGGTGTGCCTGGTTATTAAAATCCTAAATATAGTTAATTCTTACTATATTTTCAATACTATCCTTTTGTTTTTTTTTTGTTATATATTTGAACAACATTTAAAAATAATAATGAAATAAACATTGTTTGGACGTAGTAGGAATAATTAATTTCTTGAAAACTGCTTATCCAAACGCTTGAAAGGGATGAATAATTTTATAATTTCATTCAAAAAATTAATAAATAATTACTATTAAATAATTACTACATAATCACATATTTTTTTGAAAGTTTATTTATCAAACAGGTCAACAACTCAAAAACCCTCCACTAGGATGGCGCGATTACGTTTTGGTTATGGTCTGGTCGTGTTATGGCAGTTGCTAGGTACGCGTGCAAAGAGATCTCTACTTATCATATGGAATTTCTGTGATGCGTGGTTTTCAAGCATATTCAAATACTCTGTGTGTTTTTGTCGTTGGTGCCTCTGAAGCAAGTGCACGGGAGAGATTGACTTGTAACCTTTTTTTAAACTAAATTTAACTGAGCCAACATTTTTTGGATCACTGATAGGCTGAGAGTTTGCTTGTTCGTGTCATCTTATTTTCGACGCTGACTTCCCTGTGGGTGGGTGGGAGGGTCGTGAGAAAATCGTGCAGTGTGGCAGTGGACCGGATCCATTCTGATGTTTTCTCTTTTCTTACAACTGTTCAGAAATCCGCTCACATTTTATCCGTTCAAATTTTGTTTTCATTGAACACTCCCGGTATTTTCGTATTATATTTTTTTGCTTTTTATAAATTTGTCTTTTAATCGATTGGTTTGGTTTTAATTTTTTCAGCTTCAATTTTTGTTACTAACACTTTAAAGAACCATAAAAAATATTTCCGTGGTTTATGGAGGTCTTTAAAAAAATTTTTTTTTTAAATAGTATTAGCCGATCACCAAGAGATCTTGCTTCGTTATATGTTTTACCGTTTGATATAGTTTTGTTTCTTCTTTAAGAAATTTAGGCAAATTTTGAAAACACAAAAAAAAAATAAACAAACGTCGCTTGTGTGATTTTGCCCATGTCTGAAGTGGAGAGGTAGTGGTGAGCATATTCAAGCATTAATAACATTCACTGGGTGAAATCTTTCATGTTGCCTAAACATTTGCCTAAAATTTGGAGCTAAATATTATGTAATAGAAAATTTTAAATTTCTTGTTAACTAAAAATACGTCATTTAGTTTACATTTACAATTTGTTTACATTAAAAAATCATTCTCAATTTGTAAAAAAAAATTTTCGTTATAAGAACGTTTATTAAATGATGCTGAATGATTTCCTTTAATAATAAACAAAGCCACTTTTTTGCTTGTTTCCATTTAATCATTCATTTATTTCAATCATTCGTTTTTTTCAATTAAAATATTATTTTGGTAGTCTTATTATTTTTTTCGATAGCATCATCATTTCTAAGATTGAGGTCAGACAAAATGTTTCTTTTGTTATGTTTTTTCCTTTTGTTGACTGCAGCTTTTTCTTCATTTTTTTGAACGATTTGCAAAAATGTGCAACAAATCAATATAAATATGACGAATAGGTACTTGGGTAACTTAAAAGTCTTTGTAAAGAAACATTCTTCGGACATAAACGTAAAAGTCTGTTCTCTCTCTTTGCCAAAAAGATGTAAGATAAAAGAAAACGAAACTAACCAAAGAAAACTGCAAACAATCAAATTATTGAGCATACAATACAAAACAAACAAACAAAAAATATTGCGTACAACAGCCCGGCCAACCAAGGCATTGATGACTGATGCTTTCATCTTTCATGTATGTTGTGTGTACAATCGTTTGTATGCACAAAGGTACGAACTAGCACACACATAAACACACGGATACATACATTATTGTACATAGCAATTAAATAGAGTAAAAACAAATCAATTTGTCCTCAAACTCTGAAAATGATAAATTTTTCGAAAATAATGTTAAAATTGCAGAACACAGTAACATAGAACATTTCATGTATATTCATGGGCGCTGGCTCTCCTATAAGATGCTCATAGCCGCAATCAATGCGAGAGGAAGCTGAACATACAAGACTCTAAAGATGAAGTGTGTGTTTGTATGCGTGTGTGTGTGTGTGTGGGGAGGTGTATCGGCATGTATGTTGCTTGGGTGTCTGTGCGTGTATGTATGTGTATATGTGTGCGCGTATGTGTTTTTCTTACCATGTGTGTTTATTTGAATGTGTGTGGTGTG